AATAATATCCCTTTATTTCTTGTGTAATTTTCTTCGTGGTTAAAGTGACAAGGGAATGATTAGAGAGAGGATTTGACTAATCCATCATATCTACGGGTAACCGAAGAATCGATGATGATTTTAAAATTCAATGAGTACTTGAATAAATTTTAGTGTCGTTTAAAAATTAGGAAATGAGATTTAAATAATCCAAAGTTTTAAGCCAAAAAAAAATCTTATTATTATTATTATTATTATTATTATTATTATTATTATTATTATTATTATTATTATTATTATTATTATTATTATTATTATTATTCATCTTATTCGTTTTTCAAATCTGATACATTTAAATATGTCGTCTTTACAGGCCACAAAAGGGCCACTATTTGAAATTTATTATTTAAACCATCGGTTTTTTTTTTAATGTAAATATTAATAAGTCATTATTAGTATAAGACATTCACGTTTCGCATTGATCTTTATTTTGTATATTTAACTTATTAATAATTGCAATAAAAATAAATTTAACTTAAAAGGTTATGACCTCTTAAGAAAAAAACTTAAAGAAACCGTGACGTGGGTAGTAAGGTTGGAAATTTTAAAAATAATAAATTTTTTTATTTTTTGAATAATTTATAAATATATATTTAATTTATTTACAAAATATTTATAATAATTAATGAGTAACATAAATAAAACGAGAGAGAAAGGAGGAGAGAGAGAGAGAGAAAGAGAGACGTCATAAGGATCGGCAGCCAAATCAGTAAAATATAATTTATCCAATTGTCGAGATGTAAGGAGCAGAAGCTGCCACCAGAGGAGCAGCTGCGACCTTTTTAGCGACTAAAGGTGCGGAAAAAGCTTCGACGTACGGAGATACGACTGGTGCTCCAGCGACGGCGGTGTATGGTAGATAAGGACTTCTAGCAACAAAATTTAAACTGGAAGCAAATGGTGCCACGGCTTGAGGAACTGCTTTGGTGTATGCAGCAAATGGAGCCGGTGCTGCTATCAAAGGAGCGGCTGCAAAAGGAGCAGCAAGTGGAGCAGCAACCGGAGCGGCAACGTATGGAGCTGCGACCGGACTTACGAATGATGCTGCAGCGGGAGCTGCAACTAATCGAGTCGGAGCTGGAAGTACGGCTGCAGCTGCTGCTGGAGCTTGTACTACTCCACTGTAAGCTCCTTGAAGGAGCATAAAAAGAGCGGCGAGTACGAACAACTGAAAAAAAAAACAAAATTATCGATGAATTTTTAACATTATTGATTTTTTCGATTATTGATTAAAATCGATTTTCGATCGGAAACTCACCATTTTTTTTGTGTTTGATTCGATGTGATTAATCA